TAGTCTTTACACATGTTCAAGGTAGGTTATGTGAAATCTCACTTCATAGAGATTTCTAGCTTCATGTTGCAACATCCTTGGAACCTTAACACCCCATTTCATATCACACCCACCCCTCTCATTCTATAGAGACTTTATGCCTAGCAACCCATTCTATAGAGAGAAAATCTCTATTAAATGCTCAGTAAAGGACCCAAACCTAGTACCACCATGGATGATTTTGGAATGATGATCCTTTTAACTTTTGTGAGCGCCGTTAAAAAGAGCGGGTTCTTGAGTTTTTATATTTTATATAATATATACATAATATATATATATATATATTTTTTTTTCTCGTGCATGTGAATACGTTGTACATGTTCATGCTCGCAGAAAATGTCATATGTCCAACCAATGGCCTTCTTTTTGCCAGCAACTATGCCAAACATGTGTTGAGGTGGACCACGCAAATCGTTTCGCTTTCTAAAGACAGGTGGGTCTCCGTTTGTATGATGTGCCTTAGGGGTGGGACATGCGCCCGTTGAGCGTATTTCTGACCGACGCTGCTGTAGATGTTCTGGATGATGTGTTGAATTCGTGCAGGTTGGTGGCTGCTGGTAGGGCCAGGATGATCACATTGTTGTTATTGTTGCTGAAGTACATCTGCCAGTCGATGAAAGAAAAGGATCGGATTTTGGAACAGAAAAAAGGTAACAGAAACAGAAACAAACAGTGAACAGATATACCAAAAAAACAAACGCAACAACTAAAAGAAGGGGTCGATCCAAACTGGGGTAGTCCCCGGGTGGTTTGGATCCAAGGACTGGGACGAGCGGCACAGACTATTCGCAGGCCACGCTGCAGCTGAATACTGGCATGCTACTGTTTGGAGGAGAATCAGGGGCCGTCCTGTTTCAGGGGCCCGAGCGAATTCCGAAGGTTCAAACCAAATGTGCGAAACCATCCGCGAGTCATCCTGAATCCGACCAGTCGCGTGGACTTTTGGCCGCCAATCCTATCGAGTGTGAGGTTTTTGGATTCCTCAAGGGGTTGAAGACGTGGTCCCTTTCAATTGTCTATCCCGGATGGGCTCCTGTCCTGTCCCATCTCCGACCCGGTGACCGGTGGTGTTCGACCGACCCCCGAACCGATTGCCGGAGAAACGGGCCGTTCGGAGCCCAGTCCGGGGATCACCAAGCCTTCCACTCCACAGACGACTCGATTCGCTCGTCCCGACCGACTCGGTGGTGTAGAAGCACCGAACGCCGCGAAAAAACCGCCATCTCGTCGACCGTCCAGGATACATGGATGCGTATGTCTGGGAGGGACACCCCACCGAGGGCGACTACGACTTGGCCCTGATGCAAGTGGATGCCGCTAGCGGCGAGCTGAACTGGACCATGCGATGGGGAAGCGCAGGTGTCGCAGAACACCGCATGTGAGGTTTTTGTGTTCCATTTTCCTCGCTGGGTTTGGTGGAATTTGGTACTTTTTGATTGGTTGGGTGACCCGGGTGAACTTGGTCATAGACATCCCGCATCATCCTCACCTACTCCTTACTGGACTCCGGCCTCCCGACCCAGCCCCGGACGAGTCGCCGCAGGTTTTGATGTCTTATTATGTACTCATTTGGATGGCTTTGGGAATCTCTTGGCCACCGGCTACACGAATGGTAACTTGGAGGGTACCTTTCAGGGACGTGCTTGAGGTGATATGGACCCCTATGTGATGAAGGCCAGGCACTGCGCCGGCGGAACGGTTCCACGCCCTCCTCTCGGGGGTTCACACGTCCGTTTCACCAACTGGTGTGCCATGGGGTGATTGTCTGGTGCCAATTCGGCTGTGTCTTTTGCCAGATTTGGAAACACCCGGATCGGTCCAAATCTGCGAGTCCGAAGATCATCTACAGGCCCTCGAGCTGCAATTCGACCCTCTCGGGCACCGAAAAAGAACATGGTGCATCATGTGGAACAGTGGTCATGTGCTCTATGAACATTCCATGGATGGTGGTTTATTCTTCACTACCCTCTCGAAGCCCTTCCATGGTTTCATAGGTGGACATGTGTTCGTCCTTCCATCTCTCATCGTCCATGCACTGGGGCGGCGATGCCCTGTGAAATCTTTTCCAGCGAGCCAAAGACTGCCGGCCGCGGCATGGGTATCAAACAAGTATATATATATATATATTAATAAAATTATCAGGGTCAAGAACAAATCAGTGGCAGGATCACTAAATATGTATACAGTAATAGTAATATACAGTAGAAATAGGAAGGAGGGAGGGAGGAGGCAAGCCTTTTTTGACCCTGCATTGAAAAGGGTATTGTGTTAAACCACGTCTCAAAGCAACCCATGGGTCAATTGTGGAAACAGAACCCATTCTATTGAATCCTAGGGCTTTCCTTTTTTTAGCACAATCATTTGCTTTTAACTTTTCACGCATGAGCATTCTTTTCTAACCCTACCACACATTCCTTTTAGATCCTGACAATCAATTGTTCCATCTGTCTTACAGTGCACACCGCAAGGGCCCCTTGAAAAAGTCAAAGATTTAGTTCTTCTCAACTCACATGTTGCAGCGGTGTTTCTTGGTTCAGGTGTTTGTTGGCACTACCACCACTACTTCGTCCACAACCAGCACCTCAAGCACCAGCAGCTCAAGCACCAGCAGCTCAAGCACCAGCACCAGCAGCACCAGCAGCACCAGGAGCACTAGCACATTGAGCTACACCAGCACAAGCAGCACCACCAGCAGCACCAGTAGCACCACCACCAGCACCACCAGCACCACCAGCACTAGCACAAGCAGCACCAGCAGCACCAGCACCAGCAGCACCAGTAGCACCACCACCAGCACCACCAGCACCAGCACATTGAGCCACACCAGCACCGCCACCAGCAGCACCAGCAGCACCACCAGCAGCACCAGCACTTCCACCTCATCGACTAGCACAAGTAGCAGCACTTGGAGTACCACCAGCTTCAGCAGCAGCTCCAGCACTGGAACTACCAAGGTGCCTGAGCATCTCCAGGATGCCGTTGAGACGTATAGGTGATGCAGCTGTTCAGACACTAATAGATACTCCACCTGTTCAGACGATGGGTGTCTTTCACCCATAGATGGGTCCTGTTTCAAGACTTGTTAAATTCGGTGCGCAATTGGAGATTTCTTGGATGACACTGGCCTGATGTACCAATGTCCACACATGTCCTATGTGTTTTCAAGCCATATTCCGAATGGGGCACCGGATAGCTCACCGTCTCCTTGCCGTCCTGAAACGGCGTAGCCCCTGCCCTCGTCCCTGTGCCACGCATGGGCACACCCACCACAAGTGAGGCAGGTTGGAGAGAGGTTGAGGTTGGTGTTTGGCGGCTGTGACTGACGAACAGGTCTTACCTCCAAGTAGTTGGGCGTGCCTATTGGTTCTAAATTTTCAAATGTTGTTTGTGTTTTCACCACCAGCTTTGGGGAAAGGGTCCTCCTGAAATCAAGGTAGAGAGAACCTGTAGGAGCTTCTGTAGGATTTTGACATGTTCTGACCATTCTTTTCTTAGCCCGCTGAATGCACGAGCCCCCCGTGGATGCACGCTGGATGCGCACCTGCAATGCTTTTGAGTCGATCCTCGGCTAGACTATGGCTACCTGTGCACAACAGATTGCCTTGTTCGTCTCAGACGTCGTTGTTCTTGTTACCCTCCAGGAGGGACTACTCCGGGAGGGGCCTAGAGCGGTGGGGAATTGTTGCCCCTGCTTTCTGAACCTTGTCCGCGCCCCTTTCGCGGCGGCCGCAGACCTCCAGCGTCACCTCTCTGACAGCGACCACCACCTCGAAGACCGAAACGAAGGCGACGACAGCGAAGATGGACTGGAGAACTCATATGGGGATCTGTCTTTGTACCTGGAGACCTGGTTACTCCATGGTTACCCCATGGGGATGGGTCATGGTCGGAGCGACACGTCGGGAGAAGGTCAAGCAATGTATCCTGGTTTTGACTGGATTATATATAACATACCTAGACCTTCAAAATCCCAAAATATTTTGGTCCATGTGGTTTGTACTACGTTATTGTGACGACCAGTTGAAAAGTGGTCGAGCACATACGATTCAAACAAAGAGTGGTCGTGCATGGTCACACACTGCCCTCCCCGTGGCCTCTGGATGACTGATGGATGACTGATGATGATGACGATGATGATTGGTCGGTTTCACGGGAGTTCAAAGGTATGATCTCTTATGCTTGCACAAAACTTGTGGCGAAATCAAGTGCAGCTGGGTTGGCCATCGCTTGAGCAGTCGATATACCCCTCTAAGAAAGAGCGGCTTTCACTAATCCCTGGTCGATCAGACATTGGCCTAGAGCTCCAAGAATTACGAGCAGGCTCGAGCGCAGCAAAACTACAAGATACGGTAATGACATACGAGTATGCAAAAGGAACCATAATTGCATTGTTGCTAACAAATGAACTCATGTCGACATCATGCTCGTAGGAAAACATGACTAGGCACTCATTTTCTCCCGAACAGCTTATGACCAAAGATTGTCCAGGTGGAGCAGGCAATCCTACTCATGACATTCAGCCCAAAAGAGTTGCAATTCAACGAATTTAGAGGTTTCTCAAAAACCATCAAAAACCCATTTGACCTACTTTCTGGGATTTGTGGGCGTTTGCAGGTTTTTGATGGCGTTTTGAGGGTTTTTGTGGGCGTTTTGCGGGTAAAACTGGTCGTGGGTTTTCATCAAATTCTGTCTCCGAAACCTCAGAATAACATTAAGTGCTTTCCACTCCATGTAGGTCTTCAGAGGTCACAACCTGGGCATGAACAGACAAATGTTTTTATCAATTTCTCCTTTGTCGTGGTGACATCAATGTATTTATTATATATCGAATCATCTCTGCCATTGGCCAAGGATGAACTTATTGCAACCCTGTAGCCGGTTTTTGATTTATTTGTGCATATCCTGCATCGCATCTTGCAATTCCACCGGAATTCGAAGTCGTTCATTATATAATGATAGAGGTAAATGAAGAATTGGCAGCTGGGCATTAATCCAGTTATCGTCATCAAGAAGGCCGCAAAAAAAGACTTGAAGGTCGGTCTTTGCCGGGTCGATGATGACTGGCGTCTTCCACTGCGTCCAATGGGATGGCTGATGGATGGATGGGTTGATAAATACGGAAGTCATCCCCTAAATATAGATGTGTGATAGCCGGTGATGGCTACTCGGATCAAAATCTGTGGAGCATACCCAAATCACACCGCTAAGCAAAAATCAGTCGTTTCTGACAACTACCATTTTTTTCCATCGAAGCATCAGAAACTAATACAACAACCCAATCGTAGCACAACAGATTGCCTTGTTCGTCTCAGACGTCGTTGTTCTTGTTACCCTCCAGGAGGGACTACTCCGGGAGGGGCCTAGAGCGGTGGGGACTTGTTGCCCTGCTTTCTGAACCTTGTCCGCGCCCCTCTCGCGGCGGCCGCAGACCTCCAGCGTCACCTCTCTGACAGCGACCACCACCTCGAAGACCGAAACGAAGGCGACGACAGCGAAGATGGACTGGAGAACTCATATGGGGATCTGTCTTTGTACCTGGAGACCTGGTTACTCCATGGTTACCCCATGGGGATGGGTCATGGTCGGAGCGACACGTCGGGAGAAGGTCAAGCAATGTATCCTGGTTTTGACTGGATTATATATAACATATATATATATATATTTATATATGTATACCTGGATCTTCCAATGCAGAATTTCTGCCTTTTGGCTTGCTTGTATGGATGAAGAGGTAGCAATTCTGCATAGTTGGAAGATCCAGGTATATCTTGGGTCTGTCCTATTACCTGTAGTAGCAGTCCGTAAACAATTATCCTGCTACTGATAACCGGTACTGTAATGGGATACATCCGAACAGCTGCGGGGATGACATCCTCACCTGAACCTTATGCGGCCCCTAAACTAGTTTTTTTTTGTTTTCCATCAACGGGGAAAAAAGCCACACAGCAACCATTGCTGGTGATATTGTTGGATTACTTGGGGGGCAACCAAAGGAATCCAATTTCTCCCCATCCATTGAGGTCCTTTCAGTGGTGGCATTGATGTCTGCAGTGGAGCTGCGGCTTGACTTTCGGGCATCAGACTGGCCGTTGCCTCTCGAAACGGAGTCCATCGTGGAGTGTGCCGAGCTCTTTGACTCGGATCTAGCAGCTCGGTCGATGCGCGTCTTCAGCACGTACCGATCCGCATGGTCGAAGACCAGGCACCGTAACGAAGATCTCCGCGGAATCCCTTGAAGGCCAGGCGGAGGTCCGGTCCGGTCAGGCGGAGGTCGAGTCGCCGTCCGGTGCGTCCGCGTCGTTCATCGTGTTCTCGGTCCGTTCCGTGAAGCCTCTGGGGTTTCACATGGTGAAACACCACACCACGGCACCGCGGCCCAGACCGAGCGAACCGGGAAGCGTACTGAACCGTGTGGCTCACTGCTCCGTGGGGAAAAAAGGGCGCGACCGGGGCGCCGGCGCCACTCCGAGGTGTTGAAGTTGGGGCTCCTAGCCGAGTGCCGTTGGTCCGCGCAGCTTTTGCTGGCTCCTTGGCGCCGAGGGAGCTGGGGCAGGAGCTGGGTTGCCGAGGGTTTTGTTCCGAGAAAGTCATTGAGTATAGATGGTATAGTTCAGTGGGTATATCGGTATACAATATAATATAGGTTA